GTTTTTGCAAGAATCTTGAGTCGGATATGTTCAGGGCAGAAATTTAGGTAGGAAACTCCATTAACGCTTTCAGCCATGGCTGCAGGCTTCCATAAAGAAGATGGCAATAATCCCCACTGTGAAGTGAGCTACGGAGAGCTGTTTTTTTTTAGAGGACGAGAGACAAAAATCAAGACAAAAATCTCTTTATTAGAAGAAAATGCAGAAAACCAGCCTTCAATATTAGGAAGATAGAAATCTAAATTTTTCTTCTGTTTTGGAAATCATGGATTTCCAATGCTCTTGAAATGAATAGGCTGAAGCAATGGGTGGGGTGTAAAAGATGGGATAATAGAAGAGTTGTGTCTTCCAGAAAGATGCGTATCAGTTACAAGAGCACAGGTGCAAGAATGTTACACAGAAGTGGGAAATAATTTACTGTTTTATAATAAAACTCTTTGCTGCATCAATGGAATGTTTTCATCAATGTTATGTAGTGGAAAATGGAGGATAATGAATTAGAAGTCATCTTGCATTCAGCATGCCAACCGAAATGTATATGACGTCTCTGTATCAGAAATCTCAAAGTATTTTTGGAAGGCAGAGCTCCTCTGCTGCCTCCTCACCTCAGGCTGCAAGAATTCGGTTGCGTGTATAGTATCTGCCCGAATCAGAGAGATGTTTATGACTCCAAATTGCATCTGAAGACTCAAAAGCCCTTATAGCAAGCAGTCTTATGGAAATATAGACATAAAAGCTTCAAAATGGTCGGTAATCCAGAGTCATTTCAAATCTCGTAAACTGTCTTTATAGCCTCCGGCAGAAGCTGGGACGGTCTTGTACGAGGCAGAGGTGCTGCATTTTGCCGAGGATCTGAAGAAGTGGAAGGACAGATATGTTGTTATCAAAAATGACTACACTGTGGATTGCTTTGAGACTAAAGAGGTAAATGCTTCTTCCTAATACGTTCTTCTACACTCCCAAAGAAACTGATATCAAGTGAATTTGCTGCTGCTGGCTGCCTTTCTTTTAGCAACACTTGATGAAACGTTGTCCTTGGCGAGGTGGCTCCAGCCTTGTGGAGCTGGCTGGAAGCTCCACAGGAATGGCTGAGGGTACAACCAAGTTTTGTACATAGACATTTGCAAGAACTAGCAAATCATTTTAACAGTGCTTTGAACCTTCTTTTGCCTATCACAGGACGCTTCTTACCTATATGTCTTTGTAATAGGTCCCCGTGCTTCTGCAGTTGGATTTTAAGTAGCAATTTTTGAGTGGCTTCAAGTTGACTATAGTGAAGCTTTTCGTTTGGCAGCTGCCGTAGTCAAACTAGTCCTGGCTGATAAATCAAACAAATAGGTCTTTGAAGAAAATCCCATCCTTTTCCTCACCCTTCTGTCCTTGACTCTTGACCATGGCTGATAACTGAGAGGATATTTTTAAATATGTTTTTACATTTAACCATCTTTTAGTTTTGACAGGGAATATATCCAAAATTCAGTCTGACAAAGGAATTTTCCCTTTGGGGAATATCCCTGTGCATTAGTTCTGTAAATGAGTTGTGTATTAGATGTTTTCCTTCTCCTTACATCTCTGTTTGACTCCCTCTCTCTTGACTTTCCAGGCCTACCAGAAAGGAGCCAGCCCTAAATACCATGTTCTTCCTGCAGGAGGCAAAGTACTGACTTCAGAAGATGATTACAATTTGCTGTCTGATAAACATTTTCCAGATCCTGTTGGTAAGCCTTGCTCAAAGCGAACTGCCAAACCCCAGGCTCTGTTCCTTACACAGACCTCTTCTGAGCAGGCTTTCAGGCTAGACTTCAAACAGGGCAGCAGAAGATGCACGCAGCCTGTTTCCTAAGTCAGAACACAGCTCCAGGGTGGATGTACACGGAAGATGCTATAAGCTCATGTTCAGAGAAATGCTGGCTCCCTTTTTTCCCAGCAGCCCGGCACAAAGCCGCTGGAAGCTGTGCAAAGCAGGGCAGGAACCACACCGCCATTGTTCCCGGGCTTTGTTAATATTCCTGGTTTATTTGTTTCCATTTTTAGATGCCAGCTGCCTGTGTTGACTCACGGTTGATAATAAGTCCCACAGAGAGGGCAGGAAGGTTGCTGCTGCTGAATTTGTTGTTTCTGGGATGGGAACCACTGTGGTCCTGCCCACCCCCACCCCACTCCACAAAGATGGAGAAAATTCGGGCTTTAAGGGAGCAGATCTCATGTTGCAGAGTCAGATTTGGAAAATGGGATGCCACATAAGGGATACTTGTAACAAGGATTGTGTTTTAAGTCTTGCCTCATACCACTTAAAGTTATGACTGTTGAGAGGTGTCCCACTTACACCCCTTTCCCAAGGCATAGGGTGGTCAGAGGGTGGCATGGAGCAGTGGTGCCTGGAGGTGTCCTCAGTGTGTCACCACAGCTCTGCAGGACTCGGGGTTGAGCGATGTTGAAGCCACTTGTGGGCTTCCCATGGCTCTCCCTTCACAAAGAGTGGCTCAGTTACTCTTTTATGGCCTTTCTGCCCTTCCGGGCAATGCTGAGAACCCTCCAAGAGGAACCTCTTATGGCTGGGCTCTTGATGCACAGCACTGACACAAGATTGGGTTTGGTCATCCACAGATGGTGCTGTACAGCATCCCCCTTGCACAGTGACTCAGGGCAGGTGGAAACTGAAGATACTTCATGCTTTCTTTGCTTCACCATTAAGGACTTGAAGTGACTGTTCATAAAGACATCTTGCAGTTGTGTTTGGAAACTCTGGAGGCAGGGGAACCGCTGCTGTTCCTACATGGTTTAATGCAGTTCATTTCTATAGGGAAGACCATATGTTGCTGGATGGTCTCTATGTGGAAGAGACCAGAGTTGCCCCCTAACTTACTTATTTGCTATGAAAACCTTTTCCCTAGCAGTTGCCATCTAATTAAATAGTTTGTTTGAAATTTTACCAAAAATGTGTAGTTTATGGCCACCTTGAATACAAAACGAGGATACCGAGTTGTTATGGTGTAATGTAGAGAGGTGGTTGGTGCCTGCTGAATTTGCCCATCCCAGCTGTGTTGCCCTGCCCTCTGTGCCCAATCGCTTGGATCAAGAAGGAGACTTGACTTTGTCATGTCTCATGCTTCCATGCTAGCACAGGTCTGTTGTTTTAACAGTTCTCTCTGTTATAGCAGAGGAAAAGAGCCAAACATCCCAAGAAATCCGCCGATTTCAAATGGAGATGTGTTTTTTTGTGTAGGGTCGAGTGAGAAGGAGGTCGCTCAAGCCTTCGTTCAGCTGCCAAGGGAGTTCCCAGTTTACCTGTGGCAACCCTTCGCCCGACACAGCTACTATTGCTTCCCGGAGCCAGAAGCTCAGAGGCAGTTCAGCGCCATGCTGGGGGACTGCGTGAGACACTCAAACCACGGTGAGTACAGAAAGGGCCTCTACTTGTGCATCAATCACCCCGGTGAAGATTTAAATAGCTATTATAGTAAAAAAGCTGTAGAAAAACGCAAGTCACTTATTTAAGATGCTTGGCTTTTGGTACCTTGAGGAATGTGTTGACATACCCCTTCTTGGTTTCCTGGGAGTGAAGTTAGGTGGGATTTGAGCCACGGTGTAGTAAGCTTGGGTAAAAAACATGGGAATTGCTTTGATAGTGGCATTCCCCCCTCTGTCAGCTCATCTGAATCCAGTATCATGACACAAAAACACATGAGATGTTTACTAAATATGGCATGGCAAACTCACCTGTGTTTGCAAACTTGATGAATGCATCATAGATACAGTAAACCAGATTTGTACAACGTGGAGGGGACGTAGTCTCCCACTGTGTGTCTGTAATGTTATACATATATCACTGATGGTCAAACATCCTGTTTTTTGCAGGTGTTTAGATGGCAGCTCAAGCCCCCAGCCACAGTTAAGCTTTGTAGGAAGCACATGAATGGTGTGTAAGACATGGTACTGATTGTTTGCACAACTGTAAATTTTAAATCCCACTTTCTGGGCATGTTAGACTAGAAAACATTAAAAAAAAACAAACTTGTGACTTGCTAGGATTATAAAAACAATCTTGCTGCCATGAAATTGGAAGAGCATTTATGAGTTGGATCCTTCAGAAAAAGAAATGCTTTTTTTTCAGATGACTTCTCTTTTTCCATCAAGCTGACCTGGTTCCCCTGCTGGTGTCCAGGCTCTTCTGTGCCTTTAGTGTTGCTTTCGAGTCCCATCTGCTCCTGCTGCCCTTGGCAGGAGTTGGGAACACTCAGGAACTTCTCCAGCAGTCTCAGCTACTTGGGCCTGAAGCCTGTGCTTGCAGATAAATGAATTGAGAGTGCAGTCCCTTTTACTTCCAGAAGTGGCTCCCAGTGTGGTTTTTTAGCTGTCACTTTTGTGTGTGGGTCATCAGCTTCACCCCATTACCCTCAGACAGCTGTCTCACATTGTCCTCCCTGGATCCTTCTCAACTGCTGTCTCTTTTCCCTTGTCTCCACTGCCAAAGGCATTTCTGGTCTCCTTTAGGACTCCATTCCCATGATGAAAACACACATTACTGTATTTCTAGGCAGTGCCCTAAGATGCGTAGTTTTTTGCGTGGTGCTCGGTGGTAGTTGGTGGCAGGTGCCTTCTTCACAGGACACACAGGATTCTCAGTCCTGATGCTATCCAGGTGGTGTACACTCCCCTGACACTTGGTGGTCCCCCTTTCCAGCTCGTTTCCCAGCTCATGCTGAAAGTGGTGAGACTCAGTGTGCCCTTCTAGCTCGGACAGCCTCGTACAAACTGGAGGAAGCAGCTCCGATGCAAATCTGTGTAGGTGTGGAGAGGCTGAAGGCTAAAACACCCTGGCAAGCAAATCCCTAGTCACGGGGACTATAAAGACTATATCATGGCTAGATTAACATAGGTTGGAGGCATCAATCTGGAAGGAACACACCTTCACTTGGCACTTCCAAATAGCTTAAGTCTCAATAAATATTCCCTATATTGCTGCTGGAGGAACCTGAATTCCCGTAGCGTGCCCCAGGACAAAGCCTGCCTCTGTGATTTTCAGTTCTGATTAGCCCGGTTTTAGCTGTGGTGGTCATACAATATGAAAGCGCTCTGGACTTTGGAAAGCCACCCCTTTGCTCCTCACTGGGGTTTGGTATAGAGATGGGAATACAGTCAAGTTTTCCTGGCACTGTCAGTCCTCCATGACTTGAAGCCTGTGCGTTAGGTTTAGGGTTTTTCATTTCTCTCTTCTGGAGCAAGCGTAACAGGCTTGACAAAGCTTTTGGCAGCCTTTTTTTTTCTTAAAGTTCAGCACATCACTCAAGGGGCCAATTCTGAATTGGCAGAAGCTGGGACTAGATGACCTAACAGGTCTTTTCCATCTCCAGTGCCTGCAAGTCTGTGTTTTATTATATTTCATATGGCTCAGCTATTGCTCATTTACCCATCTGTTCCAGGATTTATCCCTCTCAGCTTCTTCTGTGGTCAGGTTTTTATCTAACAGAAGATGCTTGGTGACACCAGAGTGCCTTCATCTCGGCTCATCCTCTCTGTCACATTATTTCTGCTCAATATAGATAGATAAAGACAGTCTGGATTAAGACCTACTGTTAACGCCGGTAAAAGTGAATGGGTTTTTACAGCTAAGGAAATGGGAGCCGATATTTTCTGGATTTCTTGGAGTTATACCATCTCCTAGAAACCTGGGTGCTGCAAGTGGAATGGATGTGGATGACTGACCAGCACCCCAGTAACCTTAACTCTGGCCACGGAGTGAACTTCTTTAGGGTTTTTTATTTCAAGGACTTCATTTTGATTTATATTCATCCTTACATGACTGAAGTATGTTACTTTATTAATACTTTTTAAAGCCTTGTTTGCAAACAATTCTTTCTACAAAAAACAGATGTTTGAACAATGCCACGAAATTACAGGCTCATGCAGCAATACTACGAGTAATAAGGCTGGTGATACAGAAATTGGCTGTGTGTTCTTTTATTTAAAAGAATTGCAAAGAGAGGAGAGATGTGAAAAATACTTCGAGTTTGATTGTGGAATATAATTTAGTGGGATAAGGAGAACTGGCCAAGGCAGCACTCACCCCACCTCTTCTAAAAAGTGCCGAGTTGACTTTTGCCAGGGCAGATTTGGCAAGGGCAGGAGAAAGACAGATGTAACGTCTGATCAGAAATTGCCTTTCTGTCTTTTCCATAATCTACCACTTCTGGAAAGGAATGTATCGCACAGGGCTTTAGCCAAAAACTTGGGAGAGTTTTCGATTGACGTCTGGTTTCTCCCAGGAAGCAGAATTAAATACGGTCTCTTGCTGAACAGAAAACTGTAGTGAATCAGCGTGCGGCCTTGCGACGGGAGCCGCCCTGGCATTCAGCTATTTCCTCTCTTCAGAGTCCCTCTGTTATAAATAACCTGTCCAGCCTGCGTTTCTGGGTTTTCTGGTCAGAACTCATGGTCAGGAGAATAATTACAAGAGCATTTGGATTTAATGATCACCACCTGTAGATATGACTCAGATGTATGGATTGCGGGTTCTCCTCCTCCCCGCCTCCCCGATCTTCCTGTTGTGTTTGTCCTTTATACTAATTGATAGGGTTTGCAGTTCGAGGGGACAATGATTTCCTTCATTATCAATGGAACACGTAGATTTTTTGCACCCTTCTTGAGTACAGTTCAAATAAAACGTATTTAAAACCTTTAAAAATGAGCCTAAGCCAATCGGGACCTGACTGGTCATGACTTTAAAAATATTCTAGCACAACCGGACGCGTACACTAAGATTCTCTGAATTACCCTCACTCTGAAAGTTGATTGACTGATGAATCTGCGTACAGAACTCATCCCAGTTCAGTGATCCACCTGGGCAGCTCGCGCTTTGCGCATTGCACGTTTGCTTTCGCGATGCCTCAGGGGTTGGGGAGGGGATCAGATGCTTTTTGGGCTTTAAGCCGTGAGGTTGTGTAATTAAGGGCTAATTAACGAAAACACCAAGTGCCCAGGGAGCAGCAGAGGAACCCTGACAAACGGATGGGTGCAGAGGGGGCCCCGACCCAGTTGCCCCGGTGCCCAGAGGAGGGGGCTCAGCTCAGGGTCCCGCTGGGAAACCCACCCAGGTGGGCCACCAGCGGCGCTCCCCGGCCTCCTCGCAGTCTGCAGGGCTGTCGTCGCGTAAGTGGGTATGGGGCTCGTTATGGGATGGAAGGGAAGAGCATTTGGGCATTGTGTAAAGCATATTATGGGATTTTTTCCAGGAGTCTGTTGGAATATGCTAGATTTATTATGGGAAGGACCACAGGCAGGAAAAGGGAAGGATCAAAATGGATTGGAGAGGAGTAAGTGTGGGATAACAGAGGGAAAAAGGGGATAAATAGGGTCAGCTGGGTGTAAACAGGAGGCTGGGCAGTATGCTTGTCTCACACTCCTCACCATGATCTGTCCTGTCTTCTGACTAAACTCCACTTCTAACTCTTTTCCAGGGCGAGGGTGCTCTCCGGGGGGTGTGTGTTGGGGTCCTAAGTGCCAGCAAGTAGAGGAGGAGCCATGGGGTCGCGGGGACTCCACGCATTTGAGGTGCCAGCACCTGGAGAGATGTGTGTGAGAGGTCCCAGTGCCAGCAATGGGAGAAGGGACCACAGAGCACAGGGGCCCACAGGTGCAGGGCCATCGTCTGGGGAGAGCAGAGTGCTTTCCTAACGAGCTTCCACCAGCCGTGCTTCACTCACTCACTAGCAAACTTCAAGCTGACAAGTAGGAGAAGAGGTGTGGGAGCTGGTGACCAGAGACACCGCAGGACTGAGACCAGTACTGCAGGGATCATAGGTCCAAGCCAGATACCGAAGAGACACGGGGGTCTGAGTTACTGCTGGAGGGAACATAGATCTGGTCCTGCCGTCAGTGGAGGCAGGTGCAGAAGGATGTAATGAGAGCTGCAGCTATTGGGCTACCAGATTTGGCAACTCTTAACATAAGCCATACTTGCACTCGAGTCCCTTTTCTGGCTGAGTTCAAGTCAAATTTATTTCAACATTGCTTTTCAGCATCCAGTGTATGACCCTTCTCCTGTGAAAAGTAACGACTGTGTGACTTCGCTCCCAGGAAAAAGATGACTGTAAATTTGCATACTCGGTACAGAGGTGCTGAGGTGCTACTATCTATCTAATCTTGGCCATCATCTCAAAAGCTCCATCAAACTGCTTCCTTCCCTCCAAACTGTCCATTCTTTACCAACAGCTTTGTAATGAAGGACTTCAGTGGGCTGCATTAACGAACATTGTGTGCAGCTCTGAAATGCCATGATTCATTTCTCATTGAATTTATTACCTAGGTGTGGGATGTAAAGCATTATAGCGGGCATCTTTGCTGATTTCAAAGCTTTTTGGCTTTGCTCAATGAATATGATAAATGAAAGGGTGA